AATGGCTGTAACAGTTCCAAATTTAAATGTATTATCGTTTTGTTAAAAGTTAAATATAGTGCATAATATGGAGATCCTGTCATTTCTTTTTTTCACCATGTTTCTTTTTTATTATTTATGTACAGCCTTGCTAAATCTTGCTAAGCATTCAAAAGAGAGAATGTTTGCACCTGTTATCTATATTTTAAAATCGTTTTTTTTGAGTATGTTCCACTATTCACAATTCTACAAAATTTTAACAGTCTATAGCCAAGACTTTTTGGATAATAAAAAGCAAAAAAACAAAAAATTTCTCTCCCAAGTGTCCACGAACCTGCATCTCTACCTTAAACTACATTCTACATACCCCTTTTTTTTAATGGCCTTTTCCAGGTTCCTCTCTTGTGTAATTTTGTCTTTATCATGTCTGGACACCATTTTATCAACCACAGTACAATGTAATCGCTGCATAGATTCTTTGTCCTACAATCAAAATTTAATTCAAGGAATATCTTTTCAGTGGAGAGCAGAAAAACAAACAAACAAACGTATTTCACTTATGTACGGTAAACACGACTGGTTTATAAAAATCTAAAAGCCAGTGTCAGATATTGTTTGTATAATTCAAAATGTTGAAAATTTTTGTAAAATAGGTAAAAATGTATGTGGAATTTTTGACCGAAAAAAATTATGCAGGTCAAATGTCAAACTAAGGGAAGTGTATAATTAGATAAACAAATTCTTACTTTACTCTGTTTCTTTCGGAGGAGCTCCACTTCTTTTTGATGTTTTTTCAACGTCTTGATGTAAGTTTTGTCAGTTTTGAAAGCCTCTATGTCAACTTTAGAAATTTGCAGCTCTGTGAAAGAAAGTACACCATACAATGAATGTGATATTGTTATCGTTCTCTTTTTGTAACTGGCTTAAATTTCAGGAATGACAGATTTTCAAAAATGCCAGTAAGTTTTGCCTTGTTAACACATTCAAATTATCAGCACATTAACATTTCTAGCACTGAACAATTAATTGCATTGCTTCACTAAACAAGCAGCGGCTGATATATCTCCATTGTTTCAGATGCATAATGAGAAAGAAATATTGAATCAAAATGGAAAAATTTAAGTTGAACAAGTCATTGAAAATGACACAGTCCCCGTTAAATTTTTGAAAGTCATATTAAAGCAGGGGGGTTGTCACGAGCGTGTCCTTGAAACTTGAGTTCCAAGTGGCGTATACAACAGATTGTTTATTTATATCAAAACACGTGTTCCGTGTAATAGTAATATGGCCAAAAATAAAAATAGCCGTTATTTGGCCATCTTTGATCTGATTATGAAACACACTGATATGTATGATGTATATGCCAAATACGAATGAAAATGGTACATAAATTGTGGAAATATAGTAAGGCCAAAAAGTCAGATGGCTGTTAATAGGCCATCCTTGACCACATATTGAAACAAATTGTATGGACATGCATCCTAACATGTATGAAGTACATGTATGTGCCAAATTTGAATGAAAACTGACAGAGCATGTTCAAGATACCGCATAAAAAAACAAAAACAAGATGCCTGCCAGTCGACCACCTTTGATCCAATTGCGAAATAAATTGTCATGGACATGTACCTAACATGTATAATTTATGTACCAAGTTTGAATGACAACTGACAAAGCATGTCCAAAATACAACATTTTCAAAAAACAAGATGGCTGCCAGCGGCCATTTTGAATCGAATCGCTAAGCCACTGCATGTGCATATGTCCCACATAAGGTACTAGGCACATGCAAAAAATGAACGGAAATGGCCCACAGGATTCTGAAATATGACTCTGGACAGATTGACGCAGGGACGGATGGACACACAGACGGACAGACACAGGAACTCGTGGACGATCGGGGACATGTATTCTATCCTATGTATGATCTATGTACTAAATTTGAATGAAAACTGACAAAGCATGTCCAAAATACAACATTTTCAAAAAACAAGATGGCTGCCAGTCAGCCATCTTTGATCCAATTGTGAAATAAATCGTCATGGACATGTATCCTAACATGTATAATCTATGTACCAAGTTTGAATGAAAACTGACAAAGCATGTCCAAAATACATTTTCAAAAAACAAGATGGCTGCCAGTCGGCCATTTTGAATCGAATCGCTAAATCACTGCATTTGCATGTCCCACATTAAGTACTAGGCACATGCAAAGAATGAACGGAATCGGTGCAAAGGATTCTGAGATATGACTTCGGACGGACGCATGGACGGAGACCGAATTATAAGTCCCTGTTTTCAGACTTTGTCTGAACGGGGACTAATAACCAATACATTACACTACACAATACAATGCAATAACCAATACATTACATTACGTGATAAAATAGCACACTACACTACAAAATACAATGGCATATTCAATAGATTACACTACATACACAATACAATGACACATCCAACCCATTACACTACACAATATAATGTTACATTCAATACATAATACAATGTCGCATCAAATAGATTGCTCAATATAACACCACATTCAATACATTACACTTTACAATACACACTACATTACATTACATTACATTACATTACACAATACAATGCCACATCAAATACATGACACAATACAATATCTAATACATTACGTTACACATTCAATTACACAATACAATGCCATATCCAATACTTTATATAATATACATCCTACATAAAAAAACAAAACAATGACACATCCAACACAAAAAACAACACCATATCCACTATGCTACACCAAAACATCCTACAACACACAAAGGCCTACCTCTCTTTTCCTTTATTGTAGTTACTTTTCCATCTGTTACTGTTTCATTTTTTCCTCTTGAAATTTTGTTCTTTTCCCCAGTTGGAGTAGTTGGTTGTTTTTTCTTACCTCCAACAGGAACATCCTGAATGTCTGTCTGATGAATCAAAATAGGGTAAAGTAATGAGTTGGTAATGGTGAGATAGTGGTAATGAGTTGGTAATGGTAATGGGTTGGTAATAGTAAGGTGGTGGTAATGAGTTGGTAATGGTAATGAGTTGTTAATGATGAGATAGTGGTAATGAATTGGTAATGGTAATGGTAATGGGTTGGTAATAGTAAGGTGGTGGTAATGAGTTGGTAATGGTGAGATAGTGGTAATAAGTTGGTAATGGTAATGGGTTGGTAATAGTAAGGTGGTGGTAATGAGTTGGTAATGGTAATGAGTTGTTAATGATGAGATAGTGGTAATGAATTGGTAATGGTAATGGTAATGGTAATGGGTTGGTAATGGTGAGATAGTGGTAATGAATTGGTAATGGTAATGGTAATGGGTTGGTAATGGTGAGATAGTGGTAATGAGTTGGTAATGGTAAGGTAATGGGTTGGTAATAGTAAGGTGGTGGTAATGAGTTAGTAATATTAAGGTGTGGGTAATGAGTTGGTAATGGTAATGAGTTGGTAATGGTAAGGTGTTGGTAATGAGTTATTAATGATAATTTGGTAAATAAACTACATTTGATAATGGTTCACAGAAAGAAACAAGAAACATTTAAAGGACACTGTCATCAGAACTGCACATGCATGTATTCTACATTTATGTAGTTCATATATTCAAATATTGATTTTCTGTTTTACAAAGTTAATCCAGGCCTAATATAGCTGCAATGCAATAAATGTAGTTTAAGACACAATTAACCGTCATCATATTGTTGTATTTACAAGCTTGCTTGTACATCTGGGCTTTAAAAAAAAAATTAGTTATGATGACAGTGTTGCTTTGAAGATGAATGGAGCCATTACTGAGGCATATCCATGAATTATTGAGTCTTCCTTACCTCTTCAATACCCATAGATTTCAAAGCCTGGGCTCTCTTCTCAGCTTGAGAAAGATACTGTAGTGGTGCAGATAAAGCATCGACTAGATCTGAAGGAAGAAAAAACAAGATTTAATATTTCTGACATTGATAAACGTCACGTTATATTAAGTTGTCCAATTGTAAGCCCACATGACAATGAGCGATACATTTTGCGAACTATAAAAGAGTGAGTGAGCATGTGTAATAACAGATATATTTTGTTGTAATCAGAATCCCTACATACATACGCTCTACCCATCAAAGATTAGCTGGTGATTAGATCAAGCATGATTGTATCTCCTTGTTATTATTAAGTATTCTTGACCACTGAATAGTCTTGATACAAATAATGAGTTGAAATGTCTTACCTCCCATCCCATCGGGGACGTAGGTCTTTAGTTCAATGTAACAGAACACAGTTGGCAGTGACAAAGGAAAGTTACCTTCAGTACGCAGAGAAACATGCCGATAACCTAGGAGGATGGGGAAAAATTCAAAAAAAAATTCTGTAAATTGTAATTCCAGTCAACATAATGATGAAGTCTGGTTTAATCATTGAAGTCAGAGATATATACAAGAGACAAGTTCATTCATCTCATTTTTGTTGTGTTTTATTATACGGAAAAATGAACAGTGCCCCCACATTAGAATTGGTATGATAAGTCAAATAAAAGAAGATTTATTTCAGGACCAAAGTTTCTAGAAAATCAAAGCAGTGATTTTTTAAAAAACACATCAAGAAAGTGGATCTGTACATTGATGAACAAGAAATTGCACCACCAATGGCAGGCACATCCCCCTTTTTTTCCTTCTTTCAAATTAAAAAACAACAACTTCCAAGCACGTGTTTAGAATTGACACACACATAATGACTGGAAACAGATCTAACTTTTTATTGGGGGGCCTGAAAAGAAGCAACAAAATAAGACGAATAGCGCCCTCACAGGCCAAAACTGTGAAATCCTTCAGTGAAATAATCTACCATAATATTGTGACTATGAACTATAGAGGGCAGTTGCTCCCCACATACATACCTGCCTGTAAACCATCAAGAGGTAGAATTCTCTGACCTAACATTTTGCTGTTTTCGTCATATACAGCAATACGCAAGACAGCAAGGTCCGGCAGTACGACCTGTCAAAGAAAAACATATTATCAAGGGTCCTAATTTCACATAAACAACATTTTGGAGAGGCCCCTTTTCAGAATCCGTGAATGTCAAGTGTAACTATTATTAACTCACACAAGATTTGCATCAACCTGATAAAACATTTTTGGATTCACAGACCCCCAATTCATCTTTAGTGGTTATAAATGACTGTTTTAATATCATCCATATTTTTAACACGTTTTTTCTTTCTTATCAATGGTGGTTATATTATACTAATGAAACTTAGATTCTTTGTGAAATTTTCACAAACTTGTTTTATTCAAAGGGTTGTGGTCATTGCAGGTAGTGTGTTTGAAATTCATATAAACAAATAATGTAATTTTACTCATATTGCATATACCACTATGGGTATCATATGGAACATAACGCTAGAATGATGACCTTTAACCTTCTGAGCATCAACATTTTTGCAACTTTTTGTGTGTTTTTATGCATTTTACTACCGGTATATGTTTTGGACAATTTTAGCCCAAATGAACGAAATTTCTTATTGGCTACAATTCTTGATCAAAATGTGCGAGTTTAAAATTTGACGCTCTAAAGGTTAAAGATCAAAAATCTACCTTTCTAAAGACAAATGCTTCTTCATTGTAGACAGGGTTGAGGCCATTGTTGGGTACAACTCTAGTCCTGTGCTCTTTACGAATAGTGTCGGTTGGTAGACCATACATATCCACTTCTACGTATGTACCAATTCTTTTATCGGACAAAAATTGACCTGATATGACCTAGATAACAGGAGATATTATGGGATGTCGAGAAACTGATAAGAATGGTTAAACTTCAAAAGGATAATAATTAATACCTCATTATTACGACTACTTATAAATTATATGAAATAAGATGTGAATACTAATGAGTCTAATTTATTTCTAACAAGATGTACATATGCATTTTGGAATACCCACACTTCTATTCCAGATACGCTTCTTATAGCAACAATAGTAACACTATGGCTTACCTTCACAGAGCATGTGGCAGCAATGACGCCATCTACAGGCGATTCAGAGAAAGGGTCAAATGTTCGATCCGGCCTCCTCATAAAGTCTGGTTTTAATAAATATCTGTGAGGATAAATAATAACGAATAATTATCATAGCACAACATTCACTTGCATGGCTATATGGGAAAGACGAAAGAAAGAAAGAAAATATTGTTCGTTGAATAAATGATGACAGTTTTAATTCTAATTACAAAGACCAAATCATGTTCAGCTTTCACCAAAAGTTTTTTTTTTTTTTAGTAAGGTGCCCTCAATTGATTCATAAATTGGGTTAAACAGGATCTGTCTGAAAATAATTTGGATAGTCAAATGTAGCTCGTGGAAATGTACATGGGGAACCAGAAATAAAAGCATACAGAACCATATCTACCCAAATCAAAAAGAACTTAAAGTTTGCATTATACTGTATACACGTATTGATGTATTGTTGTGTGAACCATAGTGTAAAGTGATAATATTTCCTAATATTTTATATTTTGAATTCAGTGGCTGGCAGGGTGTACTGTTTGGTTATCATGAAAATTAGATGAAATACAATTTTTATTTTATACTCACCCACAAGATGCATTGTACTCAAATTTTCCTTGATTCAGTTGCATACCCAGATCTGGGGTCTGGAAATTCAGGGAGACCATTTGGCACCCAGCATTCCAGAAGATTTGAGGCATGTAGTTACTTGAATCAACTCGGCCACCCTTCGGGTAGATACGGCTCATCTGTCGTTTGTTATAACTGAACCGAAAGTTAAGGAAATGCGAGAACTGCAACAATTGGTTGAAGCATGAATTAATAGACTTGAGTATTTCTCTAAAAGTTTGGCATGCATGATGCAAAAAAATCAAAAAGGAAAGCAATTTTTTTTTTTATAAACATTGAAAAAACCTGTCAACATACAAGCTGGTCTCTGATTGGTTTGACTGTTAAGTGTTAGGGTCAGGTAGCCAATCAGTCACAACCTTGTAAAGTATTGCTCCAATATTGCTGCATCTATCATAAACAAAGGAATAGTAATGTATCTGCAATACTCATCATGTCCCACAATACTTGCGAACACGTGTAGGTGATATAAAACACAGGTTTCCAAATCATTGTAATGTACAACAGTCGACTCAAAACAAAGGATACTTGACAAACTCTATACACTGAGTCTTGATATAACCAAGCCCAACCGATTCGTTAAACGAAGACATATGATAATGAAGATTTTGGTCTAGATGAATCAAAAGAAATGATATATTAGTATTGCTAGAAAATTCAAGTTCAAAACCCTTTATACCATTTATTTATTGTAAATTTCAAATATCAATTTTAGAATTTTTTTTTAGAATCTGTGTAAAGCAGAATGCATATTAAGTGCAGCTTTCTGTTATCAACTGAACACATATAAACATTTTTTTCTTTAGGACATGTCTATTTTGTCAAAATTTATATACATATAACTTATAACTTGGAAGTTTTACATGCAGTAAATTTGTTTTTTTCATGTGCAATATTTTTAATAATTTTCTCTGAGAATCGCCTGATCAAAATCGGTTTCACAAAGTGTGGATTCCCGTGAAAGGTTTTACGAAAGTCCAAGCAAAACTCAAAGGAATGCACTAAAAACAGCAGGCATGGTCAGTTCATATAAAAAATCGTAGCCGTAATAAAATGATAAATCTGTTCTTATGTGCATAACAATAACCATATTAAAAATTTAAAAAAAATGTAAATATATCATAATTGAGACAGACTACAAAACAGTTATGGTGATAGAACTTCCACTGGTGTGGCTTTTATCCATTGTGTGAGAAATTTTTAATTAGTGAGTCCCGGGAAAAAAACTTTAATAGAAGAATTGAAAATTCCTTTTGTGGATCCTTGACCTTTTCACTACCACTACTAATTTATTCCAAGGTAAAAAAAACTATACACACACAATTTTGACTCTTTCTAAAAGAAAAAAAATCCTATTCAACTTTTTAATTTTTTTATAAAATTAGTATCAACACCACCAATGAAGTTCCTTCACCAAGAAATGTCTGTATTCACAAACAACCAATGGACAGTAAGTACAGCAGGTCATGTGATCATGTGAATAGTGTTGTGTCATGAATTACACTGCAGATGTCCGGCACAATAAAAAAAAAAAAAAAAAAACATTTCGCCCCTTCAACCACAACCCAACCAAAATACGGAACAAAATGTAAGTACATTGTGATGTGGGTAAACAATATTGTCTAGTGATGATTGATTTCACATATAAATCCTGAAATGACATACACAAATTTCATTCATTTTTATGAATGTACGAAGGACTCAAATATTTAACAAATATATGTATGTATACATCCAGTGATGGGACTCCATCACACGAAAACACTAACATAATAAACACGCAAAACTGAGTATTAATAATACGCAGTATACAAAAGTTTTTTTTTTCGTATTATAAGCGTGTATTTGCAAAGAAAACAAACCAAACTAACTGTGCAGTGCCGTTTAAAACAACGAAAACATGAGATGCCAAAAGTATATGGCAGGACCAGGAACATGATTTTGTAAAACCAGGAGAGACACGTAGAACGTAAAATTAGCAAAATCAAAAAAACACACTTTTTTAGACTCCAGACAATGTACAACTAATGAATGATGATATGATTTATTGTGTTTGAATGATCCAAAATTAAACACATTTTAATAAAAATGGCTGCCAGGCAAACAAACAAATACTAAACCTTATGACCAATAACCACCACAATATTTTATTCCAGTTCTTTGATTTTTCCTTTCTCAAATTTGTTGTGAATCAAGTTGGTAAACAAACCCTCCTGTTCGACAACTGTTACCATTTTCAAACCTTGCCATTGCATGCATATATATTCAATCTGGGGGAGGGCGCTATCTTAATTTTAGTCCAACTGAGTCGAAAAACATTAAAATATGGTTTGTTTTGTAATCAAGTTTTGGATTCTTTAAAACAAAGTTTACTTAAAAAGGTGTTATTGTTACAAATAATTTCACAGAAACATTTTTATAAATCTGATCAAAATATCCAAGTCGTACTTCAGATTGAAATGGCGGCACTACCGGTAATTCTCATACTCCCATCACTTTTATTTCGCTTGTGGGTCACGCAGATTGAAAGAAGGTTCTTTTTCATAAATAGTGCTAACTTTAAATCAAGGGGTGTCATTCTCACTTACCAAACATGGTCTAATCTGAATGGAATGGCTCAACCTAATAATTAAATAATTTACTCTTGTAAGACAACGTTAGCTATTATAAAAGTATTTAATATTTCCAGTTTTATTATATATATTTTGTTTCAGTCTCTAAATTGGTATTTTTTTTTGACAATGTTGACAAAACGGTCAAAAGAGTAGATAATGGCAAGTTTGTCATATGCACAGTAACAGTGTGAAAAGAAGTGTTGTCACCACTTTAATTCGCTCTACCTTCGGCCACGTCAAAGCCATTGAACTTGACAGGATGCAAATAGTTGACAAGTGAGGACAGAAGGGGGTGAATATTGGTGGTGCCACCAGAATACTGGTAGTGGGCTAACGCTACGGCCACCTCAGAGTCTTCGTTGTTGTCCTCCTGAAAGCAACCAAATTAGACGTTTATCAATTCGCAACACGACTAGTGCCAGCGTTAGTCCACTAGCGTGCTGCCACTACTAACATCTACGCTACGCTAGTGTTAGGGCATTTATACCTTCTGCAACATCAAAGCCTTGGAACTTCACCGGATGGGCGTAGTTGACGAGCGAGGACAAAAGTGGATGTATGTTGGTGGTGGCGCCGGTGTAGTGGTAATTGGCCACCACCGCCGCCTCGTCCTCTGGCGGCAAGTCCGAGTTCAGCTCCTCCCCCTGGTGAACGAACGAATATGATCGCAATACAGGAAAAAGAAAGAAAGAAAAAAAAACAGAAGAAAAGAAAAGAAAAAAAAAGAGAGCAAGTGGTGATGCCTGAATGGAACAATATTTATAAGAAGGAACAAACACTGGG